TAGTGGTCGCTCCCAGTTCTGATCGGGCCCATGACTTGGAAGACGTGCCGAAAGGAGAATTGCAACAGCACCACTTGCGTTGTACTTTTGGATATCGCAGCGGTACCAAGTACGCTCACTATGCCAAGTTCGACATTCGACCAGAGGCTTGCAAGAAGGTTGCTGATTTTGAGCATGGGGATGTTGTCACGGACCGGAATGGAATGACCAGCACGTGCATTGGCCTGAAGTGGGACTCCTCGGAAAAGATAGTTGAGATGTGGTTCCATGTGGATGGTAAGGAAGGTGCTGGAGTTTATAGTGGCCAAGACCTGGACACATCCTTGCGCAAGGTCGGCCACAGACCAGTCCAGGAAGTCGGGCGGGAGGACGTTGAAGGCGCTTCTGATGGCGAAATCGAACATGATGAACGCGACTGGGTTGCGCGAAACCTTCAGCCCACTTTGAGGTACAAAACGAGAACTGGTCGCTTGATGGCTGTCGACACCAGGCCGGAAATGATTGCCAAGTTCAGGGTGCCTTACAAGTCAGGAGACGTGCTCCAAGACAGGAAAGATGGCGAGAAGATGACATGTATCGGAGTCGCGCAGGATCCCAAACACGCAGTGTTGGCACAGGCCAGTCAGGAGAAGCGCGGGAACCGCGTGACTGGAAGCATCGCTGAACTGTGGTTCCATGTCGAAGGTTCGGAGGGGGCAGGTGTCAACGTCCGACACTTCCAAGAGCTGAGCAGATACACTGTTGTGGGAACTAGGCCGGTGGAGCCCATGGCAGCTGACTCTGATGCGGGCCTCGATCCCGAAAGCATCCGGGCGTCGCTGCGTGAACTTCGGGGGCAGCTGTGTTGTGACTTCACCTTCCCTCGTGGGACAAGTCGCGGAACCGATGCTGGTTTTGATGTCAGACCCGACTTGGTGAAGAAGATTACGGGCTGGGAGCCGGGAACGGTGGTGAAGCACGCCGCACGCCCAGATGCCCGACTCACGCTGATAGGCGCCGGTTGCCTGTGAAACACAAACACGAGGCATTCGAGCTTTTTTTGCTTCCTTGTGCCAGCCAGGCATTGCGGAAGATGATGACGGATGTCCAGCTGTTTGGTGGCACTACGAGGACGCGGATGAGAGGCACCCGGGTGCTGGCCGGTTTGATGGCTGGGAAGCCTTGCGCGACGACATGACGGCGACAGGTGATGGGGGGTCTGATTCCGATTGAGTTTCAAGATAGCTGTGTTGGCCGCTCACTACAACTATGTGCACGTCTATTGCCAACTGAGCATGCAGGTGAGCGCAGAGATCTTGCGGTGCTTCGCCAGAGGCTCCGTGCGACAGAGCAGTGCTGGATTGAAACCCAGAGTGGCCCGACCCTGCTTGGAAGCAACAGAGGCGTGGTGGCTTGAGGTTTCAAGTTTTGGTGTGGCTCCGTACCGTCCCTGCGTACAAGCAAGATAATAAGATAGCAAGGGAAAAAGAAGTCTGCCCCTCTGTCCTTCCCTTGCAGGTCAAGCAGAGTTCGAGAAGCTTCGGGCTTTGGAGCAGCTGCTAAAGAAAGATGGCTAAGAAACGGAGCGACGGCGCTCAAGAGCAGTGTCGGGGAATTTTGGCTTAGCTTCTGGGGCCGTTTTGGAACGCCTCCCGCTTTGCTTTCCGCATGCGGGGTCAACTCTTTAATATCTCTTGAACCGGTTTTTATGTATATACTGATAATTGCAGGCAGCACCTAGAGCGCCTTGCATCCAATTGCTTATCGCAGCGCCGACCAGAAAGCAGCTGCACAAGGTTTTCCAGTGGCGTTCCAACACTAAGCTTGGAAGGCCCATCTTTTAAGCAAGAGGAATTTGGGCGAGGCCGGGAATGTCTGAAGGATGAGTTTAACATCTCCAGATGCGCCAGAGCCTGCGATGCGGCGGAGAGATGTACCTATAGGCTGACAAAAAGAGGTCCAACCTGCTGCCGGCTCTCTGCTGCTTGTAACATCTCCCTTCCTCGCCGCAGCATTGTAGCTCGTAGCCGTTTCGAACTTTCGCAGATTCCTAGTAGCTTAGCTAGGAAATCGTTGAGATCTTACTTGCGGGGTTTTTGTAGGAGACACCGAAGCAATGGGTGCGGAATTACTCGATGTCTTGAAGACGCTCCTGTCCCAGCAGCTGGCAGAACAACTTCCGCACGAGCGATTTTCGGCCGAACGAGGCTTCACATGGATGGATGCCCTGAGATCGGTGGATTCGCAAGAAGGAGACAAGGAGGTCCTGTGTGTTCAGTCCAGGACAGGTACGATCTTTACGCGGCAGGTCCTTGGGAAGGAGGATGAGTGCGCTTGCTGGCTCCAGGTAGTGAATGCAGGCGGCGAGGATGGTCAGCCCATCTTTCTGGGCATTGTGGAAGACATTCCGGTGGGGTTTGACAACCTTGCGATAGGCCATCGAGAGTTCAAGAACTCGATCGGCATTTGCGCGTACCCGGGAGGGGGCGAGATCGTGCATGCCGGCGAAACCAAGGGCAGCATTCCTGGAATCGAGGATGGAGACATCGTGAAGGTGCAGGTCAGCAAAGGAAGCCAGATCTCTTTCATGCACAGAGGCCAAAATGTTCTCTCCTTTCAAGTCAACGGGGATGGCAAGTTCCGTCTCGCAGCAACTCTGTCCAGCAAAAGGCAGAAGGTGAAGATCCATGACGTTGACCCAGGCTGGGGCCCAGGTCTCCAAGTCTCCCGCAGGCCAGGATTCCCAAAAACCTTGCAGAGTGGGACCCTGCCAGGTAGATTCGCCGTGGCATCGGCTGCCGGGTTCGATGAAAGGCAACAGGAGGCTCTGAAGGGTATCTTGGCCTTGGCTGAGGCAATCGGTGCGGCTGCACTCGAGGATGGTGCAAGCCAGCTGCCCATGGAGACCTACTCGCCCTTGAAAGGTTTTACATGGGTCGACGCACTCCGCAGTGTAAACTGCGAGTCGCAAGACAAGGTTGCAAAGTGCGTGATTGCCAGGATGGCTACCATGGTTACCGCTCAGGTGTTGACTTCGCAGGATGAGTGTGACTTTGTGATGAGGGTGCGGCATGCTGGAGCAGACGACCAACCCCTGATGTTTGGGGTTGTGGATGTTGTGCCCGTCGGATTCAGCAGACTTCCTATCGGGCACGTGGAGCTCAAGAACTCTTTGGGGGCTTGCTGCTTGAAAGAGGCCGGCCAGGTCGTGACACGTGGAGAGTACTCGTCCGCATGCCCGGGCATCTCAGACGGAGATGTGCTGAAGGCGGGCGGGTGAAAGTCACTGTATGTCACTGTATGTCACATGTGCTACAGTAGTTGCCAGGACTGCCAGGGCTAGGATATGATACAGTGTGAAGACGCGAGTTGCAGGTTCGCGTGCGCAAAGGAAGCCATGTCAGCATGTGCATTGGATCGGAGACTTTTTGCAGCTTCCAAGTTGGTGGTGATGGCAAGTTCCGCATCGGAGTGACACTTTCTAGCGAAGGTCAAGCTGCTACCCGGTCAAGAATTCTGGCCGAGACTTCTATAGCCGGATTTCGGGTCGATGAGTCCATGGTGTGCGGAAACAGCGGACGTGCACCGCTAGGGACAGGGATACGGGCCGATACGGGCAGCTAAGGTTGAGATCGTGGATGCGGTGAAGAGCAGCTGTCCCGGGAAAGGAGCTTTGCAAATGGGTCATTGCCCCAGCGGGGCTGGGACGACACCTCAAGCGACACTTTCAAACTTTCTGCCTAACCACGTGTCTGCCCCACATCCACATCGTTTTGTTCATAGTGTGGGTAGATCAAGCATTGCAGGGCGGCATAACTGTTCTGTTCCTTCCTGCTTCTGCAATGTTTATCTTCTGTGGGTGCCGTCAGACTGTGGTGCCCGCGGTTCTCATGCCGCTGCTAGCTAAGCCAAGAAACTGATCGAATCTGCTCCAGTCAAAGAGTCAATTGTGGAGGAGATTTGTGCTGTGGCCTTGCTGTATACTTCTTGACCTCGGAGTCTGTCATTCGACCGACAGTTTCGGTTTCGTAGCCTCCCACGCCAGGAGTCTAAGCCCAAAGCACAATGCTTAGAAAGGGTTGTAGTTGCGATGCCCCACGATAAGCATGACGGATGGCGAGACAGAGTGCGTTTTGTGCAAGTTGAATGAGGTTATGAAGTCGACATGCCGCTTCCAGACGATCCCCGCTTGCCGGCTATGCGAACACGGCGCTTCTCAGGGAATGTGAGACATGGTATCGTAGAATCGGACCCGAGACAAGGCTAAGCACGCAGCCTGCTTCAGCCCCAGCACTTTTTCGCAGTCCCCGCTGTAGGTACCACGCAGACAAGATGCGAGAATGCTGTGGCAAAGCTGGACGAGTCGTGAAGCTGGCTAAGCGCTGCGTGCGTGTCTCCGTGAATGGAAGAGAGCTCTTGGGCTGTTTGCGGATTGCCTGGGTAAGCCATCACTTGTAGGCCATTTTTTTCTAGGCTTTCTTTCGATTTGTTCGGTGCTACGGAGATGAATATGCATGAAATTAGCTCGGTACTCTAACCTTTTTGTGCCCTTTGTCTGACAACAGTATGCTTGCATTAACTTGCATTTGGTTTGGCGGCAAATTTCCCGAAACACCCTAAGCTTCGTGCTCGAAGCCCCTCCAGACCAGGGTGTGTTCTGCCGCAAAAGCATCTCGTAGCTTCAGCTCATGGCAGCATGGCCTGGGCCTTTGGATTCAGATTGGAGACAGAATTGGAGCGACTGTGTAGTGCACGGCCTTCTGGTAGACAAGACTCAAAATGACGCAAACCGGTCAGGTTTTGGTGGGACACCGAGCTCTTCCCAGCCACAGTCCAGAGGTATTGCTTTGAAGGCTGTCAGCTGAAGGACCATGTCGTCTCCAAGCCAGGGCAGATATGTGACATTTGCTATGTTCGACTTCCACTCGGCGCTTGGCTTGAGCATGTCTCACTTGTTTGGTGTTCATGTGAAAGTGGGTCCCTTTTTCATGGCAAAGCACACGCATTTGTTTGTTGCTGTGCGCAGCGGGCGCCAAAGTCAACCCACGCACGCTCTTTCCATGCTGTACTGTGCACTGGCAAACGAGCGTACAGGCACGGTGCAACTGCGGGATTTGTCTGCGAGGGGAAGTTCTTCCGAAGCCTGTGAGCCAGAGCTCAAGTAAAAACCATTTCAGGCTATTCTGTAGCCACATGAGCGCACACCACGGTATGCCAGAAGCTTCTGTGAGCCCCAACAGAGCGAACCCACGTTTCCCCTGCGCGGCCCATTGCCGTGACGGCTGAGGTGCCCCTATCCTTCGCTGTGCAGAGCACGACTACGACGTTTGCACGTACTGCCAAGGCAAGACGGAGGTGCCGAAGGTCGGCTCAGCGGTCATCCGTGGACCCACTTGGAAATGGAAGAAGCCCTGCTAAACATGGGCTCTCGTTATTCTCGTACAGCATATAGACGCTGGAAGTTAGTTACAGTTAGTTTTGCAATCTCGAGGCACTAAACTGAACTGGGCAGCCCTTAAGCCCTAAGGCAATAAGGACAGGAACGAGAGGTTTTCAAGGCGAGGGCTCGATGTCTTGAGGTATACGGGCACGGGCCATGTAGATTCGCGTTGATGTTGACGAGTCAGAGCGCAAGCGCCAGATCCCGAAGTCTAACCCCTGGATCTTGCCTTCAAGAACCCAGGCTTCACGCACGAAAGCAAGTACCCAAGCTACACGCAAGCTAGCCTGTAGAACAAAGGAGCCAAGACTCCGTGCCCTATGCGGAGGGCATATGCCGGAGCGCTCCGGGCAAAGACATGCAGGGGAGAAGAGCAGAGGACCTGGGTCTCCAATGTCGGATTTGCGTAGGGTCGCCTGGTCTGGGTTCCTACGAGGCTTCTAGGGTGAAGAAGGAATGCTGTGGGGACTGTGGGGGCCTCTCGAGGATGGTTGGGTGTATGTCCAGTGGCGAGATGGCTCGACGAATCTGTATCGTACCAACCAGTGACCCGGCTGACCGGACCGGCCGAGCGCACCCGGTTTGGAGCCCATGTTTGGTGTAGTTTCGCCTGGCCTTGCGAATTAAGAAACTCGCAGATTGCGAACTGTTTCGAAGGTATTACCAAGATGTGTGGCCGGCTCGTGAGAATGGCCTGCAAGGCATGGTGCCAATAGGTGCGGGCCTTGTTGACTTCGGGTTTGGAGTGCTGTGTCAGAGTCTGGGTTTTTTTGACCTTCGGCAACTCGTGCTTGCCCTCAAGGCAAGGACGGTCCGCAAGAGGCGCAAAGGGCCGGGTGCCCAGGTCAGAGAGAAATCCACAGCAACCCATCTTAGGATACTGGGCGAAGTCAACCTGGCATGTGAATTTCCGAGCTAGAAGTACCGTGGAATCTGAATGCTTGGCCGAGCAATCATCGGCTCATCGATGCTAGCTGAGGCAGGTCACGGGACATCTGCGTCGAGTTTGCCACAACTAACATTCTCTGAATCCACGGGGTTTACCTTTGCCGCGACGGCTGTTGGTGACGTTGTGGTTGGCTCTTCAAAGAAGGATGTGCGGGCCATGGAAGATGGACTTTGCTCGGTGGTGACCGA